GAGAGACAGTACAAAGGTCAAAGCACTTGCTTCCTATGCGACTGTGGCTGTGATACCATTTTGCATCCTGGATATGGTTCTGGAGAACAGAGCCTGGTTTGGTCCCTGAGCACAAAGCCAGGTGTGGCAGCCTCTGAGCACTGCTGGTATGGTCCAAAAAATTAATTTAAAAAAAGTACTTCTTTACATAACAGAGAAAAAAATTAGAAACATACCCTGAAAGAAAAAGGCCAACGTGTTCTTAAATGATAGTAGCCCCTCAGCCATACTGTGGACTGTGTGTGTGTGTAACTTCCATCTCTATCTCCATTTTTTTTAGCTTTCCAATTCAAAGCAACTGAGACAGAGTGGATGTAATGGTGCCAAAATAAAGTCAAATCCCTAGTGGCATGTGTTTGGGTTGCCCTCCTTTGGTTTGCCTGACTCACAATACAACTCACTCTCCAAGGCAGACCAGGTGTTATATAAATGGAACAGGTGGCAGAATTCATTGCCCCACAATGACCCTGCACTCTCCAATCAAGCATGTCACAGACAAGATGTAACCCTGGTGCACCACTGCCACCACCACAAAAAAGTAAAGGGAAAGGGAAAAAGTACTAGATTAGTACTTGAATAATGACTGAAGTGAGTTCTCTCCTCCTGGTAATACTCTGTGAGGCAGTGAATATTCAACACAATTTCTCAGAGTTCTCCATTGAGGGTTATTTCCAGCTGCCCACCCTGGCTTCTAGAGAACACACTAATTATTAACTTCCTTATCGTACCTGTATCGCTTTCCAGTTTCCAGCAATTAACTCCCAGTTATATTACTTACATTAGAATCCTTCTCTTCACATCCGCTTCTTGAACAACCTCATTTAAGACACTGCTAAATATTTCATCTAGCACATTTTAAAGATACCAGGAATTCTAGTTGTAGAGATGCTAAGATTGATTGGTGAATGCTAGTGGTTTCAGCCTGATTCCTTCATTATAAAATTCTTATTCTTACCTGTATTAGGGTTCTACAAAGAAATTACCAATATCATAGAAAGTATATAGTATTTTAAATTTGGCTTACGTGATTATGAAGGCTGAGATGTCCTATGATCTGCAGTCGTCAAGGAGGGTTGATGGTACAAGTCCAGTCAAAGCCCGAAAGTCTGACAATCAGTAGTACTTATGATGTAGGTTCCAGTCTGCAAGAGCAGGCTCAGGATTCAGTTGGTGTTTCAGTTCAGTTCTGAACGAAAGAAAAGATCAAAGTCTTAGATCAATAAATAAGATAGGAGTTCTCTCTTACCTTCAGAAGAGTTATCTTTTTTGTTCAATTAAGACATTCAACTGATTGCATACCTTCCCACATTAGAAAGAGAAATCTTAATCACACTCATTCAAAAACATCCTCACAGATACACCTAGACTAGTGTTTAATCTAAAATCTGGACATACTGTGGTCGTCAAGCTGACAGATAAAATCAACCACCATACTCTTCTCATCTAACACTTTCAGCAGTCAGTTATGTAAATTATCCTATCAGGTTTACAAAATGGATATTACTTAATTGGCAGGGGGGCTTGGACATATCCACCTGTGCTCAGGGACTACTCTCGATTTGCTATGCAGGGGTCATTCCGGGTGGTGCTTTTGGGGCCATGTGGTGAGAGGGATCAAATCTAGACTTCTGGCATGCAAAGCAAGCACACTTACTGTTTTTTTTTCTTTTGAAGAAGGGTGCTCAGAGAAACCTGTGTGACTCTCAGCAATTCTCTGCCAACCAGGCTGGTGGTTCAGTGTGAGGTCTGAGGATACCATGCTGCTCAGGCCCTGTGGTATCAGGAATTACCCTGGTCACCCTAATGGGCAATGCTCAGAGGCCTCCTGGGCTGCATCTAGTGATGCTTGGGGTCCATGTGGTTCCAGGGATCCAACTCAGATCAATTGCATACAAGGAATGCACCGTAACCCCTGCACTATCTTTTCAGCTCCTAAAGTGGCTATTTAATAAATGTTAATATCCCATGAATAGCTAAAAATTCTATCATTAAGAACTTTCCCTCATCAACTATTTGACTACTTTTGAAATATTACAGAATGGGTGTTGCATTATGTGTCCTTTGTGATAATTTAGTTTTCTGAGCAGATAGCACTTATTTAGTCCCCAAATCTATGTGCAGTTGTTTGAATCATTTTCAGTGTGGTCACTACCATCAGTTGCTTTGTCAGTTTCATATGCCTAAACAAATGCTTCCAAGGGTATTCTGCAAGGGTCATCCTTAGATTGTTTTTTTTTTTTTTATCATCTATCTGAGAAGTCCCCTCAGCTCCCTTCTTGCATTTTATCTTAAAACCATCTCTCGAGGCCAGAGAAATAGTACAGCAGGCAGGACGCTTGCCTAGTATGCCACCTGGATTTGATTCCTGCATCCCATATAGTCCATCCAGAGCCTGCCAGGGGTAATTCCTGAGTTTAAATTCAGGAGAAGATGCTCGACTCCAGTCCGAGTAGGCTTGGAGATGTAGAGTAGGCTTGATGACTGGTCCTGGAGGTCTTCGGCTGCCGGAGCCCTGGTCGGGGCGGGGAGGAAAGCTCAACCCTCTCCCCTCCAAGGGGCCTCGGCGAGGAACAGCCAGGCGCGGGGGCAGAAGACTATAAAATCCAGCTCCTGGACGAGAACAGTGCAGTCTTCTGCCCCCGCGCCTGGCTGTTCCTTGCAGCCGAAGACCTCCGGGACCAGTCACCACCATGCTGAGACCACTCTCCGCACACAAGAAGGTACTGGCAGAGGGACAAAGCCACGCTGGTTCCGGGGCTGAGATCTCCAAGCCTACTGGGACTGGAGTCGAGCATCTTCCACCCAGATCCTCCAAATCCCAGTAGGCGGGGGTCACACCCACCACCTGGCCCCCTGGCGCCATGTAATCCCATCAACGGCCAAGACTCAGACTATAAAATCCAGCTCCCGGAACCACGTGGCAGCATTCGCAGCAGTGCAAGTCTTATCATGACATTTTTTTTATGACATCTTATAATCTCATTCCTACTTTGGACAAACTTGCAGGCTATCGAATGTAGCCTGCCCACAGGGCAGAGTCTGGCAAATTCCCCGTGGCGTACCAAATATGCCAAATACCAGTAACAATGATGGGTGTCATTCTCCTAAAGAGCCTTGAATATAATCTCAGGGCTAGGATGAAAGAGATGTTACTGGGGCCTGCTCGAGGCAATCGATGAATAACAGGATGATGAAATGAAATGAATGAAATTCAGGAGCAAGCCCTGAACACTGATGGATGTGGCAAACAAACAAACAATCCCAAAAAACAACCAACCAACAGCCCCCCCCCCCACAAAAACAAAACAAAAACATCTTCTTTCAGGCCCTAGAGATAGAGCAGTGGGTAGGGCACCTGCCTTGTACAAAGCTGGCCCAGGTTCGATCCCAGCACCCCATAAGGTCCCCTGAGCCCACCAGGAGTTACCCTTGAGTGCAGAGCCAGGAATAAGCGCAGAGCACAGACAAGCCTGCCTGCTTCTCAGGGCTTGGGGCGAGAACTCAAACCGCTGGAGTTCATGCTTTAAATGCAGGAGCCCTGGGTTAGGTCCTCAGCAGTTTAGGTCCTGAGCAATGATAGTGAGAGTAGAACCCTAGCACAGGAGACAGTGCATGTCTTCCCCATCCCCTCCACATCAGTTTCTCTTAGGAGCCCAGATGATAACATTTAAACAAAATTTCCTTCTAAACAGAATTTTTTCCCCAAGGGGCTCAGAGAAAGCAAGTGGTCCCAATGTGGCACGGTGCTCTCCTTGGGCACACAGGGCCCTCTTCAAAGTCAGAATTCGAGTTATTCCTGATGCTCAGCTCTGTGCAAACCTTAGGAATCCTTGACACTGAGGGGGGGGGGGGTGTCAGTCTCATATTATGCCATTTCACATTCCACAAATGAGTGCAGCCTTTCCGTGTCTGGCCCTCTCTGACTCACTTCACTTAGCAATGCCACTCTCCATGCCTGTCCACTTAGAAGCCAATTTCATGACTTCATCTCTCCTAACAGCTACATAATATATGATTGAAACTCAAACATGAAGTAACTGTATCTCATGTGATTCAAAGATTTTTTTGTTCTAATATGTTAAAAAAAAAAAAGACCCCTGACAAAAAGTGAGACGGGACCTTTGTCCCTTCATGGATGTTGCAAAGAAGCACCTCGGCTTTGCAGCTCCAAAAAGGCGCGAGACCCCGAGAGCTAAAGCGGGGTCAAACCCTGTGCCTGCCTCAGGACAGGCCCAGGGTGAGGGGCAAGGTGGGGGGCAAGGTCCTCCGATGAGGGACTTCCTTGGTCCGCGGGTGGCGGCAGGTGAGGGCTTCGAGTCCCCTCAACTCCGAACTTCCCCTCAGGGCGCCGGGGACTGTGGAGCGGCGCAGCGGCACCGGCGCGGCCTGAGGGAGAATCCGAGAGCCGCGGAGGCAACGCCCCCCGCGCCCCCCAGCCAGACGACCCCGTCCGAGTCAGAAGCTCCATCCCAGACACCCCGGCTTGGGGCGTGGCCCGGTTTTGGCTTTTCTGGAGGAACGAGGCGGAGCCTGAGGAGAACGCGTCGTCCAGTCTATCGCTGGGAAAAGAACAGACTTAAAATTCCGTTTTGGAACGGACACAGACCGGGCGGGCAGGACGCGGGGTCTCGGCCTGAGGGGCCGCGCGCAGCGGCGGGCGGCCGGGTCGGGACAGCACGAGCCGGCGGAGGGCACGGTTCCCGGCGCCCGTGGGCCTCTTCTGCGCACGCGCGGTTCCCCCGGCAACCGGCTCCGGTCCCACCCCTTCCTCCGCGCCGTGCGCGCCCGTGGCGGCAGCTCGTCCCACGTGGCCCCGATTCGGGGGCGGGGCGGCAGCGGCGGACACGAGCGCGCGCTGACGTCAGCGCGGCCGGCCCCGCCCCCCGCCGTCCCGCCCCGCCCCCGCCACCTCCCAGCCTGCTGCTGCTGCCGCTGCTCCGGCTCCTGCTCCTGCTCCTGCTCTTGCCTCTGCTGCAGCCCCCCGCGGGCTCCGGGCCCCGACACCCGCGCGCTCCGCACCATGGAGGTTCCGGGAAGCCTGTGCAAGAAAGTCAAGTTGGGCAACAACGCGCAGAACTGGGTGAGCCCGCGGCGGAGCGCCTGCACGCATCCTCTGCCCAGCTCGGGGGGCGGGGGTCGCCCCCGAGGCCGCGGCACCTGCAAGCTGGGGCGGTCTGGGGGGCGAGGGCGGGGTTCTCCCGGGAGCCGAGCCCGGGACAGCTGCACCCCGAGGCGGAGCTGTCCGCGCGCATCCCCGGGGTGGCCCCAGCGGCGTTGCGGAAGCGGCGGAGGCGGGGTGGGGGCGGGGTGGGGGCCCTGGACGTGCCTGGCCTTTCCCAGGCCCTGTCAGTGCAGTGGGCACGGGCCGGGGACCCGGCCTTTCTGCCCCTGCGCTTCAGGGTTGAAGGGAAAGACCCCCCATCCCCCCCGCGCCCCCAACAATGTGTCCATTCATGAGCCGAGACTGCCCAGAACTGAGGCTCTTTGTGGCTCCCTGCGAAGTTGGAGCCTGCGAAGGTGTGGGCAGGCGAGTTGGTCATTAGGGTTGCGGGTGGAGGCTGGCCCTGAGGTCCAGCGCTGGGCCCCGGGTTCCGCTCACAAGGTGACTTGCTTCCTTTTGCCTCGCTGAGAAACAGCAATCAGTTTGTGGGTGCATAGAGCGGTGTGGTGGGCTGGGGTGGGCTGGGGTGGGTTGGGGTGGGGGAGGGGCTATTCTATTTTGGAGTCAATCAAGAAACTGGTTTTGAATGTAGATGAACATTTTTTTTTAATTTCAGTACAGCATGATGGGGGTTGAATGCAGCCTTGTAAATCATTTCCCTGGGTGAGTCACATGAAAGGCAAAGTCGCTGTCACTCATTGACCGGCAGGGTCGTTCCCAAGAATCCCACCCGAAGCCTTTTCAGCCTCTCAGACTGGCAGTGGAACTTCTCCTTAGTTGGGGAGAAGGGACAGAAGACGCAAGGGGAGTTAGGATGCTGGGAGAAGCATCCCGGGCTCCCCGCCTCTCTGGTTCCAGCTTTGCCAAGGGTAGCTGCATGTGAACTGGGCTTCTTGTTGAGTCCAGAGTGTGATAATACTGTGTAACTTCTCCCAGTTGTCTTGAGAAGTTGAGAAGATAATGAATTGCGAAATGTAATGAGCCTGTTCTATGTTCCTGTCACCATGAGGACGTCCCTGTCAAGGAGAACAAGATGGACTAAATAGGGTACCAAGGCCACCCCAGGGCTGCAGCAGAGGCGTCCGGCTTCTTCCAGCACTACTCAGAGCAAACTTGAGGGGCACCGAGCCCCCTGCCAGGTGCATCCCAAAAAAACAAAAACCAAAGCAAAACAAAACAAATGATGCATGTTGTTGATGGATTATTTCATTTTCTCCATCTCATTCAGTTTCTCGTTTTTTTATCCCGTTTGCCAGACATGTGCACATTCTTTGTAGAGACCTGACCGGACTCACGGAGGAGAGGAAGGGGAGGGCCTCTGCCTGCCTTCCGCTTGCTCATGGCCTGGTTGGGGTATCGGTGGCAATTGCCACACGGTGAATGTGGCCTCTCTGGCCATAGTGAGTAAGAGGTGTGAGATGCAAGAGTTCTGGCAGCGCAGAGGAGAGAGTATAGCCTCAGAGGCCTAGAAGGGCAGAAGGAAGGAGGAAGGCTCAGGGTTTTGGGGCAGAGGGTTGCTGTTTGAGGAAAGGCTGGGAATCGGAACTGAGGGAGTTTTTTCACTCTAGGAACAATGAAGGTCCTGTTTGATCACTTTGCAAAGTTTCGGTTGAGAAGTGGAGATTAGATTAGGCAGGACAGCTTGGCGTTATGCACTTTTTTTTTTTTAAACAGGACTAAGAATTTTTTTAATCTCGTGCATCCTATATGTTTTCTGCTTCTATTGGGAAAAAGTCTTATTTTCCTCTTACAGATTTATTTATTTATTTATTTTGTGCCATACCCGGCGGTACTCAGGGCTTATTCCTGGTTCAGCACTCAGGGATTCACTCCTGGTGGGGCTTGGGACCCCAGAGGGTACCAGGGACTGACCCTGGGTTACCTGCCTACAGGGCAAGCTCTTTGCTCTCCCTTTTGGGGAGCACGAAGGCCATTTAATCTGTTATTGCTCTTATTCCATCTGTAAAATGGGACTGCCCCCAGAGAAACGTGAAGTTGGAAGGGGTTAAGCTAGAAAAATGCTCAGTTCAGTGGGGGGCGCAGAGAGAGCAGGGGCCTCTGTGACCTTTGGTTGTACCTGTTCCAAGAGAATCAGCCTCCCGGTTTCCCAGAAATAGTGGCCCAGAGATGTCCCGCAACTCCTTTGTGGTGCCTCTGTTCTCCGCACACTGCGAGAGAGGGACTTGAGGAGATCAAAACCTGATGACCTCAGCCCAGCCAGGATATTCCCAGCTTGATAACTCCAGAAAAGTTAATAGGGTATTTTTTTTAACCCAATCAAATCTGCATATTAAATATTAAAATACCATTGATGGGGCCTGGATGTGTGATGGTACAGTGGGTAGGGCGTTTGCCTAGCACGCAGCTGGCCCGAGTTCAATCACTGGCATTCCATAGGGTCCCTGAGTACTGCCAGGAGTAATTCCTGAGAGCAGAGACAGGAATAACTTTTGAGAATTGCCGGTGACCCAAAAAGCCAAATAAAAACAAACCATTGTTTCACAATAAATATTTGTCCGAAGCCATTAAAGTCAGTATAGCGTTGTTACTTTACCCAAGTACCTGTTTACATTTAGTTCACATTGCAATTTAGATGAGCAGCTTTTGACCTGCTCGTAAGACACATGGCCAGCACGTCTACATGGAAGAATTAGGCTGGGTCTGGAAAAAATAGATGTGATGATTATGTCTGAGTGAGAGAGTATTACAAGAGAAAAATGAGAGCCCAGGTTCCTAAATTTTAAACTTTGGGTAATGTCTCCTGTGGTTAAAAAAAAAACAACCCAAAACAGGAAGTGAATTTGTATGAGATAGAGACAGATAGGAAAATGGAGCGTGCTGACTCCAGGGGATGGGTGGGTTGCTGGTCGCCAACCATGTGGCCCTTTTGTGGGTGTGTACCCGCATGTGTTGTCAAGTGTCATGTGATCATACAGCCCATGCAGATGGCGAGCTTTAGACCCCAGACCTCCCCAAACAGGGCCTGAGTGGAGGTGAGATGAACGTGAACACTTCAGATCACCAGGAGCTGAGCTTGAGCGACTCGGTTTTGGGGTGCAGGAATCTGACTGCAGATGTGTCCCCATCGCCACAGGCTCCCTTACCATCATGATAACTGCACATCAGATCAGGTTGTAGTTCAAGAAATAGGTTTGAATCACTGGTGTGCTTGGCTCATGAATGCCCCTGAGGGTTCTTGTTACTGTTTATTCATCACATATTTAACACCTGCTTTGTAGGTGTCTTTGATCCAGGTGCCTGGCAGGAGGTGGTAAAAAAAAGTGAGTCTTCTGGCTAGTTCAGTCAGCCGAGGAGAGAGGCAGTTCACTGAGAAGCAAACAGATGAGCGGAATGTTCTTCCTCTCACGGTGCTGCCTCTCCCACTTCCTCACACTATTAGGCACCTCTTACTGTTTTGTTTTTTTTTAAAATTTATTTTAAAATTGTTTTTTGATTTTTAAAATTTTTTTGTTGAATCACTGTGACATAGACCCTTACAAAGCTGTTCATGATTAGAGTTCAGTCATACAGTGTTCCAGCACCATCCCCCTTCACCAGTGTACATTTCCTAGCACTAGTGTCCCCAGGTTCCTTCCCATCACCCCCCCCCCCCCCACCTGCCTGCTTCTATGGCAGGCTCTTTTCTCCCCCTTCTTGATACTGAAAGGTTAACATGAATATCCCTTTACCTAATTTTAACCCTCAGATCTTGTCCAGCGTGATCCTTCCCAGCTATTGGAAGACCGATATCCATTGCCAGGGAAAACAGGGGTTAGGGGTTAGGAGGACTTGGTCAGTGGTTGGAACTAATCACCAGTGTGTTGGGGCTGAGGGTAGGTAAGATAGCGAAGAGCCCAGTAAGACAATGATAGCTGGGAATAATTACGATGTTTTGTGACCACACTCAGTGGTGCTCAAGACTGACTACTGGCTCTGTGCTCTCAACTCTGGGAGGGCTGTTGAGAGCTTATGGGGGTGCTGGGGATTGCACCTGGATTGTCTGCGTGCAGGGCCAGCGCCCTCCCCACTGTCCTATATACAGTCCCTGCTGGATGTCTCTGTGGAAGTCTGTGGCCCTGTCTGGCTGAGTTGGGCACAGAAGTGAACGAGTCACATGGAAATGAGTTCGAGAAGCCACACACAAGGTGGCCACTGCTTGGGGCAGCTGTTGACCCGCCTGCCAAGAGGGTATCTGGTCCCTAGCTACGTGGTCCTTGGAGTGAGGTTCTGGAAGAAGCTGGGCATGGCAGGACTGTGCCCTGCACCCCACAGAGTGACCCTGTTTCCCTCTGCACCCGCCCCCACCGGCTCCACCAGGAACACAATCTGGGTACTTGTGACCAGGAAGGAGGATGAGCTGCACCAGGGTCAGATATTATGATCGACTCCAGGGGCCAAGCGGCCACCCAGGACACCTTCGTTTACTCCAATAAAATGGAAAATTCCCTCTGTAGTTGCACCAACCACATTCCACTGGACAGTGCTGTGCGGAATGTTCGTGTCGTTTCAGAAGGTTGGGCTGGAGGGCTCAGGTCCCGTGGTGGCATGGAGTCTGTTGGCGACATACATTTTTCTGTGCTCGTGATTTCTGTTTCCTCTTCCTGAAACCGTGAGGGGTTCCCGGCTCCCCTGGCTCAGGGGGTTGATGTGTGTGTGCTCTGCCTCCCACTGGGCTCCCTGTCCCTGAGCCCCTGGCTGGCCATGGTGTGGCGCTCTGCCCGGGGCTTCTCAGTCAGCTGAAGTCTGGCCAGCCTCAGGGGTCTTGGCATCAGCTGGACACGTGTGTGTGTGGTGGAATCTTCTGGCCAGCGGTGCTGTTGAACATCCCACACTGGACAGTTGGGCCACCCAGAATCACCATTGTGCCCCAGAAATCACTTATGCTGAGATTAAGAAACTCTACTCCCACTTTGAGCAGG